TTAGAAGAGAGTAGTCTTGCAAGATGCCATTGAAAATACAGAAAATATGTTTCACTGCAGCAAAATATTAATTTTTACAGTGAAAATACGGAAAATGAAACACGCATTTTACTTCATCAATATTTCTCAATACATGTATTTCATTTTCAAGTACAGTCAAAACTGTCTTAAGCAGCCAGCCAAGAGATGCAGTCATTTTGGCTGCTTAAGACAGGTGGCTGCTGAATGGAGGATCCAGTTTTTATCCAAATAGATTATTCATTTAAATTTCTTCGTAAAATAAATCTAATTTAAGTATAAATAAACCAGTGTGATTCATCATCAGTTGTTTACCATTTACAAACGTATGCCATTCATAGTTTAACATGTACGTTACATGAATGTAACACAGATAAACAAATGCACTCACGTTTTATTATGTCAATAATTGAAACTAATTATCCCATATTATATTCTTGCACAATAACTCAAAATGCGTAATATTTTCTTCACAAAAAAATATCTAACTTTTGATCAATAGAATATTGCGTACACGTCATCTAAGTGTCGGCACTTCCTTTGATGTTCCAGAGCTACAGGTTTGTAAACATCAAAGATTTTTTTGAAGAGCCCTGCTAGTTACCTCTTAGAGGTCATCTAGTGTGTAAACTTAATGGGTGTGATTTAACAATGACATCATTATATTTATGCATTTTTATTTTCACACATGGATCAAGTGTTTTTATGAATTTATGACTGAGGGATTTAGACAAACGGCAATGTAATTCATTTTCATTTCTTTGGTAAGTACCATGTACGCACCAAATTTATCTGAATCGGGATAAACTGATAAAAAGGAAAACAAATCAAAATATTTCTTTCCACCATCAAAAATGCATTTTTTCTTCTTTTTTAATTTCTTAAAATCGGTAAATTGAAAAAAAAAACTAGCGTACAGTAACTCAAAAGAACGAATTGCAAGTGCGTGGAGACGTTCCAAACGTTTGTAATTACAACACGGATGAACAATTATGCAAATTCTTGAAATACAATACAATACAAAATAAAAAAAATTCTTGAAATGTTGTGGTTTGTGTTAATATCTAGCGCCCGACAAGTAGCTTATGTTAATCCGTGACACGTGTCATCTTTACAAATAAATGACAGAAGATTGTATGGCCGTTTCACCTGGCTGACCGCTTAAGATGACCTAGGTTAAGATTCAGGAAGCATTTTAGGTGACCGTTGACCGCGGACAGCAGGTGACCGTTGACCACATGTATAAAATAGAGTGGTTTTCGTTGGGGGCGTCACAAAATGGCAGTTAAGGTCAGGTGACCGCCAAAAAGAGGTGACCGTTAGTACAGTTTCGACTGTATTTGGAATTGCCGTATTATAAATTTCTATAGAGTTTGATAAACGAAATCACAATTTGAAGTACTATGCACATTAATCAGTATCAAAATCAAGAATCTAATTGCCACGCGCATTAACATGACGTTGACATTTTATGGTTATTAAACAATAAGCACTTTCATCATCAATAAAGAGCGAGAATGGAGACATGTGGAGTAAACAAAGTAAAAAATAGTAAACAGATAAATGATGTTACAAAACAAAACATTCAAAAAGACGGAAATAACAATGATTATCAATAATTATATGAATATTTACATTAAGATCTGTAATAGCAACACCGGCAAGATCTATAACTGGGGTCCATATGACACTGATGCGTCCATTGAATAATTGATAGCTAACATAAACTAAGTAAAATTACGATTACTTTTGAAGAGTATATTCATTTTTTATACTTCAGCTGTCAAATGACTTACTTCTTTATTTACATATCAGATAATTCACTTATTTGGCAAATGCATTATGTTTATCGTGTTTTAGATTTTAATATGTGGTCCTTTTCTAAATCTTAAAAAGCTACAAAAATCCTGTTGAGGGCATCTGCATGTCATGCGGCGTGCAGTAATCCATGCATTTACAGCCAATGACCACATCGATAAGAAATAGTCCCAAATAGCCCTATCGTTTTTATTTAGTTGAAAGAGACATTATTGTTAAAACATTCTACTCGATTTAAATGTTTTCAAACCATAAATATTCCGTTCCCTTCCTCTCTTTATTACAATGTGTATTAGTGAGCTCTCTGATAAAGCTGGGTTGACTGATATAATTAACTAAATTTGTCAGATATGCAGTTTATTAACAGAAATAAATGCAATAATAAAATAAATAGTGTTTAGTGTTCCTAAGTGAACGAAGTTATATCCAGTTCACGAAAAACGGGTACCGTGGGTATGAAAACAGGATGTAAAAATATTTTTATCAACGAGTGCCACTGTGTTAAAAAGCTGAATATATCATACTAAAACATTGCTACAGGTTCTTTACCAAGTATATACGAGTATATATGGTTATACGTATAAATAACTCTTTTCAAAAGAATAACATTTGACTTTAAAATTGCCGCGTTGAGGCGTATATAAAGTTCCCTTTTCACAGTATACAAATGGAAGTGATCCTGAATGTGCAGGTTCATTGGACAGGCTAGCTAAGTCAAACCGAGCCTGCAACATTTTCAATTTGTCCGTTTTTGGCGATATTTAGAGTTTCTGTTTTCTCTCTATTTTGATATTCCACGTTTAGTATTGCTTCATGACACTAATAGATTTTTCATAATCATTACCGTGAAAGAGAGAATGATTATATTCTTTACAAATGCTTTTTACGACTTTTAAAATCACTTATAGCGCAGCGAGTAAAAATCATTTAAATATTCATTTGTGTTTATGTAAATCGTATAATAGTAAATAAAATGTTTTTCATGTTTAACATAATTATAGAAAGAGAACGGTAGTTATGTTGCTTTGCATTTGCAACGGGTTCTAAAATCTGCTTTAAACTGTAGTCCTTTTTTTCGACTTGGAACAGGTGCCAGAATTGACAATTGAAGGAAAATGTAAGATTTATGTCATTCATAATAAAAATATGAACATATTTAGGTAGAGTTTTGCCTTCCGTACTCCCGGTTGATTTAAATCTGGCTTTTAATCATGGCGTAGACCAGATAACGCCAGAAAACGAAATAGCTTGCAAGTGAAGCCCGCTCAAATACAAGCAACTTCCAAGGTTATGCAAAGTGTTTGATAAAACGGCTTATAAACTGACGAAGATTCAATATTCTGTGGAAAGCTTATATTTTCCCCGTAGACTGGTGCATATCCCAAAGAAATTGGTACAGAAATAAAATATTTACGGCTATTTTATTTTCCGAATTGAGCAACATTTGTCTTGAAAATGATGCCGAAAATGACGTCATAGTCACGTGGTATGGCCACACTGTACAACAGAAATAGTTTTTTAATTTAGTACATTTTACGGATCTGTAATTACTTTAAATTAGAGCTAAAAGTACCGGTTTTCCAGGTCTGTACCGCGGTACGTACCGCAGATGTCTCGAACCGTGGTTTACCCCGCCGGTATACCGGTTAAACCGCGCACCTCTACTGACTTTAGAAGAGAGTAGTCTTGCAAGATGCCATTGAAAATACAGAAAATATGTTTCACTGCAGCAAAATATTAATTTTTACAGTGAAAATACTGAAAATGAAACACGCATTTTACTTCATCAATATTTCTCAATACATGTATTTCATTTTCAAGTACAGTCAAAACTGTCTTAAGCAGCCAGCCAAGAGATGCAGTCATTTTGGCTGCTTAAGACAGGTGGCTGCTGAATGGAGGATCCAGTTTTTATCCAAATAGATTATTCATTTAAATTTCTTCGTAAAATAAATCTAATTTAAGTATAAATAAACCAGTGTGATTCATCATCAGTTGTTTACCATTTACAAACGTATGCCATTCATAGTTTAACATGTACGTTACATGAATGTAACACAGATAAACAAATGCACTCACGTTTTATTATGTCAATAATTGAAACTAATTATCCCATATTATATTCTTGCACAATAACTTAAAATGCGTAATATTTTCTTCACAAAAAAATATCTAACTTTTGATCAATAGAATATTGCGTACACGTCATCTAAGTGTCGGCACTTCCTTTGATGTTCCAGAGCTACAGGTTTGTAAACATCAAAGATTTTTAGGAAGAGCCCTGCTAGTTACCTCTTAGAGGTCATCTAGTGTGTAAACTTAATGGGTGTGATTTAACAATGACATCATTATATTTATGCATTTTTATTTTCACACATGGATCAAGTGTTTTTATGAATTTATGACTGAGGGATTTAGACAAACGGCAATGTAATTCATTTTCATTTCTTTGGTAAGTACCATGTACGCACCAAATTTATCTGAATCGGGATAAACTGATAAAAAGGAAAACAAATCAAAATATTTCTTTCCACCATCAAAAATGCATTTTTTCTTCTTTTTTAATTTCTTAAAATCGGTAAATTGAAAAAAAAAAACTAGCGTACAGTAACTCAAAAGAACGAATTGCAAGTGCGTGGAGACGTTCCAAACGTTTGTAATTACAACACGGATGAACAATTATGCAAATTCTTGAAATACAATACAATACAAAATAAAAAAAATTCTTGAAATGTTGTGGTTTGTGTTAATATCTAGCGCCCGACAAGTAGCTTATGTTAATCCGTGACACGTGTCATCTTTACAAATAAATGACAGAAGATTGTATGGCCGTTTCACCTGGCTGACCGCTTAAGATGACCTAGGTTAAGATTCAGGAAGCATTTTAGGTGACCGTTGACCGCGGACAGCAGGTGACCGTTGAAAAATAGAGTGGTTTTCGTTGGGGGCGTCACAAAATGGCAGTTAAGGTCAGGTGACCGCCAAAAAGAGGTGACCGTTAGTACAGTTTCGACTGTATATAATTAAGTTAGGAAATATTAGTCTGTAGTAAGTAATTCCAATATTTGTACGAAAAAAAAAGTTTCTTTGTTTTCTAACTGTTGAAAAAAAAACACTTTTCTTTCTCAATTATAATCTACATTATTTTTGCTGTTTGGTTCCAGGTTATTGTACACAATCCACACAACAGGAACCAGCCTGGTCGTAGTTCAGACGGCGATTTATCTCTCCTTAGTATCAACCAACAGATTAGCTCAGTGTGCGCTGGGAAATTAAATACAAATATACAAAATGATGTATTAGCTGTCGGGACACAAACAAACCTTATGGTATATGATGTAGAGAAAAATGCAGATCTGTTCTATAAAGATGTAAGTTGAAGAAAGCTGCTTCTCAGCGTTTTAATGTGAAGTTACTGTTAATTTTCAAACAAGTGGAAAAAATTTCTTAGTTGCAAAATTTTGTAGATTGTGAAAAACTTAGTTTCAACATTAGCCAATATGTTTATTTATTATTTTAACAAACAAAAAAAAAATAACCAACATTTTCAAAGATTAATACTGTGCTGATGTAAGTTTTTAAAAAATCCATCAAAAAAAAAGTTTTATTTCTATTATGAACATTAATGACACGCAAAATATACCTGCTTTTTAAGACCATCATCTGTAGTGAAAGACATGTTTTCTTTTCTTAGAATTATATTTATATTTAGGAAAATGATACGTTCTGAAAGGATCCCGACAGGGACTTTTGATTCTTTCATGTGAGGAAACTATCCAGCTAGCTTACCAAACATAAGTGGTTCTAGTCAGGTGCTCGTTCCTGCCTGAAATAATGCAAGGATGGTCTTCCTCCACCAGTAAAGCTGGAACGTTGCCATATGATACATACTGTGTCGGTGTGACGTAAAACCCAATGAAACAAACAATCGTCTGAAAGGAAGGAGCTAGTGGCTTTAAAAAATATATATTTATTAAAGATAATTTAAATTTCCTATCGTAACCATTTGACAAGTTTAAATTTGTTATTAATTTCAATGAATATTTGTTTTTCCAGACCCCAGATGGTTCTAATGCAGTTGTTATAGGAAAACTTGGAGGTATATCATCGTCGATGGCGATTGTTGGCGGTAACTGTTCTATACAGGGATATGATATGGAGGGAAATGAAAACTTTTGGACAGTAAGTAATATAAGTACATGTATAATTTTATTTAATTACACCATTCTTAGTTTTGGTTGATTTTGGTTGTCTCTGGATTCTCCTATCTGGAATACTATTGAATTCAGTTTTGATGTTACACTATAATGTGTGACTGTGACCACAGATGGACATAGACCCTAGTATTCTTTAAAAAGGTTGAAGAGCAGAATTCCTAACTACTGTGTCACCCCTTCCATTGGATATCAGTGTATTGCATTACATTGAATTCTTGGTATCTTATCATCTCCTTTGATTGCAATGTTATATATAAACAAGTGTAAAAAATTAAGATTATGGATACAAAAAATCATTGCTTGAAATTGTAATGATATTATTTAGTACTTTATTGTCAAGTAGATATAATTGCATTAACACAATATTTGTTATCCCCCTTGATTTTTAACTGCAGTTTTTCTTCTACAGGTAACTGGTGACAATGTTTGTTCTTTAACACTTCTAGACTTCACAAGTAATGGACAAAATGAGGTATGTTTATGTTGATTTTCTAGCACAATATTTTGTTTTTTGGCAATTAGTGCATTTAAAATGATTTAGTATTTGTATGAAAGTCAAGATACTAATTTTTTTAAGTTTTGCTATGTTTTAGGACAATTTTTTCATATTTAGCGCTCCTTTCTTCAGGTTACAATCATCTAAACATGCTCTAGCACCATTATTTTTAAAGTTATGAAATTCAAGTTTCCCCATTCTAAAGAAGTAAAATTTATTCATTTTCTATGGCAAAATGTGCCTTTAATTAAAAATGCTTGAGATATAGTAGTCTTTTTTATTCAGATTTAGGCTTCTTTAAAAGAAGTCCAGTGACACCTCACCCAGGCACTGGCCCTGACTAAACTAGTAACCAATATGTGATATGAATTATATATTTACAGTTGATAGTAGGCTCGGAGGATTATGATATACGTGTGTTCAGAGAAGATGAGATTATTGCTGAGATGACAGAAACAGAGGTACTTACAGTTATTGTTACCTTTGTCTCACACCTTTTATATGTTTGATCAGGCCAAAAATTAATGTGTCTGTTTTTTGGTTTGCTTCAGTAAGTCTGTAAGTATATTAACCTCAGCATTTATTGATAATTCTTACGGAGTATTTGACAATAGACGGAATAAAAACATGTAAGGGTTTTGTCCAGTGTCTTCTAAAAGGAGAAATAATACTTCCAGTCATAGCTTATTGTCATTTTGTGATCAAGATATGATTCCAGATAATGTAACTTACCATCCCTAGTGATTTTCATTGTAAAGAGTATTTTGTAAATTTGATTTAAGGAAAATATACTGTTCTTAAAAAATTTGAATGACATTGTTCCAGGCAATCACATGTTTATGTCCGATGGAGACAGCAAAGTTTGGTTATGCCCTAGCTAATGGAACAGTTGGTGTATATGAAAGATCCTCTAGATACTGGAGAATAAA